CCCCAAAACCCCAAAACCCCGAAATGAAAAAATATATAACATAAAAAGAAAATCATATAAAAAAGAAATTAGAGCAATTTATTGAAATATATATACGCACTAAAATTGTTTTGATTAGTAAAATTTATAATAATGGAAACTACTTCTCTCTAAAGCGAACACATTCCTATTGATTCTAAAAAGGCTATAATAATAGACTTATTGTCAGGAACTGCTGCTGGAGCATTATCAACTTTGGCAGGTTATCCTTTAGATTTAATTAAGTTTAGGCAACAAGTATAATAGGTATCTGTAATAAAAGCATCAAAACAAATTTTCCAAGAGGGTAGATTATCCGGGTTTTTTAAAGGGTCATTATCGCCTGTTCTTGGAAATATACCCATCAATTCTTTGATATTTGCTGCTAATGGGTTTTGTAATAAGTAGTTTAATAACCAATAGACTAAACTGAATGAGTTCTAAAAGATATACTTATCAGGCTGCTTTGCAGGTGCTGTGTCTCTTATTGCTTTTGTACCCACTGAGTTGATAAAGGTGAGAATTCAAGATATGCATTAGCAATAAAATCACCTCTATAAGAAAGTAGTGTCCAAGATATATAAAGATTGAGGAGTTATTGGGTTTTACAGAGGATTTTGGCCTTAATTTTTTAGAGACGTTCCAACATTTGGAATTTATTTCTCTTCTTACAATATTTACTAGAAGATGTTTGGAATGGATCCTAACTCTAAGATATCAGATTAGAACGTGACATTTTTGGTTAAAAAGATGCTAGCTGGTGGGCTGGCGGGATCTACCACTTGGTTTTTTGCCTATCCTTTCGATGTGATTAAATCAGTTGCTCAAACAGAAAGATTTATTAATCACTCCTCGTTTTAAATCATGAGACATTTACATAGAGAGCATGGATTATCTATATATCATTAAGGCTTGATGTCTTGTCTTACCAGAGCTTTTGTCGTAAACTCATTTTGTTTTGTTATCTACGAATACTGTTGCTAATAACTTAATCATATGCTTTGAATACTACTTCATAATTTGAATGATAAAAATACTACAACTATTTATATTAAGCTTCGAAATAATTTGAACTTTCATTGTTTTATTAAGTTATTAATATAGTAAAAATCAGTCTCAAAACATAAATTAATAAATCACAGATATAGTCTTGAAGCATCAATGTATTACTTAATAATTTTTTCAACAGCCGTAGAATTTTCAACAAAAACATCGTGACCTCCCTCAATTAAGAGACAGGTCCTTTTGTGCCCATTTTTAAGTATCTTTGATATTTATTAATCGACTGTCCTCATCTCATATTTCAGGAACTATTTTCTATGCTGATTCTAAGACTCCTTAGAGGACATCAAGTATTCTAAATCTGACCCTAATTAAGAGTCATACTTATAATCTAAAAGAGCTTCTTGTTATTTTAGGTTTATTAAAGAATTTTTTTCTGAATAGAAGCTGATTATTGGTACTTGAATAGCATTGAACTTGCCCTCTAATGAGATGTTAGAGAGAAAGCCTTTAATGATGTCAATCTTAGTTTGGTTATTATAAAGTTTAAGTTTGTCATAGAAATTTTTTTAATTTTTATCCTTGCTGATGTAATTATGACTTTAATTGAGATGATTCAAGTTCCCATTATTGTAAATAATGTCATCTTAGTTCTATTTAAGCCGTTCTGCAGAGTATATCAAGTTGTAATAGAAAAAGTCAGAGTAAATGTTATATTTTCCATTCTATTGCTTGAATGTCTTAATTAATGTCTCGAATTAAAACTGTAATGTTTGTTCTTTTTGTATAAATCCATTAAACACAAGAATAGATTCAAGATTTTAGTAGCCTCTCATGAAAATTGTATAAGTCAAAGCTATATTAGCCCCGTTCCCAAAACCTATGAAAGAAAAGCTCTCCTTTACAAAATTTACTAGATTTTTTTCATGCATGTGAAAGAACAAGAGATCTAGGCATTTACAGTAGAACTTATTATTGAGAGTATGCTTAATTGAGTTATACTGAGTATATAAGGAGCCTGGAAAGTTTATAAGGATAAATCTAACTGGGGTCTAGATGGTATCTACTAAATCTTAGAAGAAATCTCTCTTTTGGAAAAAATTGCCAAAAATATCAAGCAATACGATGTAATTCTTAATGGGCTCATTGCTTTAAAGTATGTCAGTGTTTGTAATAATTTGGTAAAGCAAGGATGTGTTCTCATCAATCAGAAACACTGATGAGTATTTAACTGAATCAAGAGGAATCTTCATGAATTCTACATATTACTCAATCTTGAGCATCTTATAATTTTCTAGAGGTATAATGTATTTATCGTCATGACCATCTTTGTCCACTTTCTCAAATGAGTAGATTGGTACTTTAGGAGTGGATATCCTATAGTATGGTATTGATTACAGATGCTTTAGTTTGGTAAAGTGAAAGAACGAACTTGAAATGTTATACTGAGCCTGATTTTCTTCTTCCATTTTATTGACTGGCTATGTCTGTTTTTTCTTCATTGGTGTGGATTCAGTTGAAAATCTGTATGATTTTGTATCATTTTCGATTATACTCTTCTCCTCACTTCTAGCATTCTTTTAGTCATTGAACTTTCTTATGTATTTCTGGGCAAGTCTTAGAATAGCCTCCTGGATCTTATTTTGAAAAGCAGATTATCCTGGCGAATTGTCTCTTTTCTTGATTTCTTGAATCTTATTATTGACTTTAATCTAATACTCTGGTATCTAACCCCTATTCACATCCTCAAGACTCACATCATAGGATGTTTGTCTTGACTATTGAAAGGAATTCAGTTTCCTCTCCCTGGAAGGTGACACATACTGAGATGTTATACTTCTTTTCATAGTTGACTTTGAATTATTCCTTCTGATGTCCTTGCTGATCTCATAGAAGTAATTAACTAAGTGCTCTGCTTTTCTTTGGGCTGAAGGAAGCAAACTATCATCATCATCTTCTTGAATCTATCCTTTGTTTAATTTAAGGGAAATACCCATAGTCTACTTCATTGAGATCAGTTTATTATTGACCGAATTAGAGAATCCAACCTTTCTCAGTTTCAAGTTATTCTGTCTTTTGAAACTGTCCTCGCCATTAGAATTATTCTCTTTTTTATTTTGCTAAAGGTTTGGATCAAACTTTTATATTTTTGCATTTGGCAATTCTTTGGTTGGGGATGAAGAAAAATTGAAAGCAGATTTAGTTTTTAGTGATATTAGGTTCTTTTTCATGATATTTTTCTGGAAAAGTTTGTAGGATACTTTTGGTATCTCACGCATCTTAGAAATTTCAGTTGGCCTTGTGACATCTGGACCTTATTCCATGTCTTCTTCACTCATTGTGTCTATTCTTAGCAGACTACTGGACTTTAGCAGGCTCACACTTTTTTCTGTCTTATTCGGCTGATAACGAATATCCTAAGGTGTTGAAGAACTATTTGATGGATTCTGCATAATCATTGTCCCAAATCTGTTTCTAGCATTTGTGTTTAATCTAGATAAAATCTTCGTTCCCTTCTTGACCACTTAAGTCATTCCTGTACTGAGTTTTAGTGTTAGATTCTTTCCTATTTTTATTAAGTCTACATCATCATCTTTTTAATCCATATTATATGTTGTATACTTCTCAGTCATCATTAGTGATTTGGCTTCAGCCTTTTTAAGCATTAATATGGAATTTTTTCTATCTTGTTCTATTTTCTTGCAAGCCTCAAATATCTTATTAGTGTCTTCTGTGTCCAGGTATTCAGAGAGTATTGTATAAATTATATAGCACTTTTGGCAAACAGTTACAGCCTTATAAAGTGCATTATAGTGATCCGAGTAAATATTTCTGTTCTTGTAAATAGGAGGCTTGCTCAAACTTATATTTTATTAGCTTTCATTGCCATTATTATTCTTGAGACTGTTTTAACTATAGTTCCTTCTATGATGATGCCTCTAGCTATGAAGATTCGAACTAATCTATAAAAATAAGCAGATTAGAGCATTACATCATCTTTGCAGATTTCACCTTTGATGCTGTTTTTATTTAGGATATTTAAAGCTAAGTCAAAGTTGTCAACTACCTTTTTAATAAGCAGAGCCCCAACTGTGTACTCAAAGGCATTCTGAGTAATAATAAAGATAATTAGAATTACCTGCAGTATCTTGTTCCTTGATGGAATTAGGTTCAAATTTTATGATGCATGCTTTCTGCTTTTCAAAGCCCCTTGGTATTTCTCAGACTAATCGATATTGAACTGGCAAAACTTCCCATAGCAAATTCTTTCTATTTTAGAAGATTTCCATTGTTTATGATCCTTAATGATCTTAGTAGAATTAAACCCTTCAAAATCGTCATTATTTTTCTAATTTGACTATAATATAAATTAATAATCGGATTGATATTACCTTAACACTCGATATTTCAAGGGCTGGGCCTTTCATTGTATAGACCAACTCATCTTTAATTCCAAGAAATACTATTTCACCTTGTAGATCCTCAATGAACTTTATTTAAATTCTTTTGATGTCAATGCCTATAGTACTTTCCATAAAACTGATTATGGTTTTAGATACATCCTGAATCTTCTGGTTGATAATGTAGTTCATCGATCTGATCAATTTGCTGTTGATCTGCTTGGTTAGCCTGCGACTCATTTTATTCTTGAATATAAGGAATTTGGTTTTGTATTACTGCTGATAGTGAGTATATTGGCATACATAGCAACCTCCTTTGATCATGTTTTTAGATTATTAAATCATCTCGTTATGCATGTGCATGGCATAAGTATTTGACATCTATTTTGTACATTAGAGTTGAGATTAAAAGTCAAGTTTCTAAAGCTCCTCTTATTTGAAATCTTAAGAGCCACGCGAGTAAATATAAGTCTAGATGACTCTTACTTCTTAGAGTCTTTCATTCAAGATATTGTACAATTCATATGGCTTAACAGGCCTACTCTCTGATTGATGAAATCTGACGTAGGCTAGATATGGCAAATCAAAGTCCAAATGCAGATAATCTTTGAATCCGCCAGGCGGCCTCTTTTGAATATCAGAGATTATTGAACTTGCATTTCTTTGATGAGATTACTAATTAACTTGGGCTACAGGTTCTAATCCACCTTCGAAGAGATTTGTATTTCGCCTCATGATAGTTTTGGTTCTAGTCACTGGAATTGACTCACTTCTGTTGTCAACACTTAAACTACTCATATTATTTTGTCTAATATTCTCTAAGCTCATCAAAGTGTTTCGCTTAGGTATCTCTATTTAAGATTCAGGCTCTTGAATTGTGATGCTACTTTAGGGCTAAATTATGATAGGCTAGTTTTGAGGTTGTAGTTGGTCCAGGGCAACTAAGGGTGACTTTTCGTATAGAGATGTAAAGACATCAGTCTGGTTTAGTTTGTTATTCTTTTTCCTTAAGATTGCACCATTTTAAATGGATGAAAAATACCAGGAAATGATGGCGTTCCCTGAAACAAAAATAGTATCTGGTATCTTTAAAGGGCATTTTTTCTCCTACTTGTTGAATATTTCATAGAAATACGTCTCCGATGTCTTTTTGCTATACTGGTTCTCATCTACCTTGACATGGAGGAAATCGAATTCATTCTATTTATTCCAGGCACTATCTGTCTCACTGCTATCTTCCTCCACAACTTTTGAATCTCAACGAGGCTTAGGGATTATATTTGAGGTTCTTGGTACGCTATCAAAAGTGTGAAAGATTTTGCTTTGCTAAAAATTGGTTGAAGTCAAAGGGCCAGAATACATCGAAACATGCTTTAAGTCTCTGTTTAATGAAGTTTCAATTTTTTTCATTTTTATTTTCAAATTTCTCGTTTTAGTATTTACCTGTTATCAATAGATTATTGCTTAATGGGGTTTTGGGGTTTTGGGGTTTCTGGGG